TATCAGGTCTGAGCAACAGTGCGTCGAATTGAGGTCGTATTCACACCGCGCAAAAATGTTCTTATTTAGGTCACAGGAACGAGCTTCGGGAAAGAGGACGCCTAACAGATATTCCGGTGTGAAACGTCCTTCCCGCCATGGACGGCTTTTTTAGGGCAATAGAGGTAAGAAGATAGGTGAGGCTAAAGCGCGTTGTCACTTTGCGTCCGTTCGCGCGAATCGCGCGTCTGGCTAGCTCATGCGACCGGGTAGCGCGACCAGGAGCGGGACTGCTGCGCCCTAATGACAGAATTTGAATTGGGCTGCGTTCATGCATTACGTGAACACGGCGCAACTGGAATTCTGCCATTGTGGCGGTGCACAGATTCGCGATGGAGCGCGATCGTGACCAATCGCTCGAGCTATCCAATCACGCGATCCAAGCGATCGGATCGCGAAGTATGAACGCGCTCTCAGATCATCAGATTTCAAGTTGGAAGGCTCCTACATGATCCCAGCGGCAGTGCTGAACGACCGATGATTCGTTTGATGGCCATAATGTGCCCTCGCCCCTCCAGCGATTCCCTACGAGGACAAACACCTAAAAAATTAAAACTGCGCTGAACTACACGAAACTCACCTTCCATAGCAGCAGCTGAGTTCACAGCGATCATTCTGATGAAAATCCCATCAGAGCCGGTTCTTTTCGCTAGCGACAGTCCTGAAATTAGTAACACAGTACCGGATTCAAGTATAGATAGAGAGGGAGGTAACGGAGGCACTGCTGAAGTGAAAGACATAGCTGTTCACGTTGTTCATGTGGGCGGAGACATTCAACCAACTGCTCCCTATTGAGAGGCCTCTTTTTGGAACGGTCACAAAGACTGTGTACACCCATGCCTCCTATCATCTGATGCAGTAAAGAGTAGGGATATAATGAAGAAGAGCAACATTGTTACGCATTGCCCGACTCCGCCCATGCGATTGACGTGGAACTTTCCTTCAATCCGTGAATGTTCGTGTTCACTTACCCAATGAACCTTCGGGCTTTTTCTCGAGCACAGCGGTAATGATGTTGCCGTTTTTCTGCGTTTCCCGTCGTAATCCCAATGTCACAACGTTGCCACCACTGCGCAGCATTGACACCACTTCTTGGTGCGTTTTATTGGACACTGGCTCGCCATTCACCTGTAATTATATTGAATCTATCCTTTCTAGGAAAGACTATATTTTGGACTAAATTTCCTAGTATAGTACAGTGAACTCACATAGATAAGGGCGTCACCGACATGAATGTCTGGGTGGCTTGCGGCTGGTTCAGCTGTCAACTGCTTGATGCAGACACGCCCACTTACGGACGCGATTTGGACACCCAGTGAGCCGACGGAGTTGCGCTCCAGCTCCACCTAAACATAGGCTTGTTCATTCTTCAAAAACTTTATGGTCAGAATACAACAGCTGTATGAATGCATTTTTCATGATCGTCTAGGCGGAGACATCCAACACGAGTCTTACCTGCTGGCGCGCCCCTTCTCTTTATGATATTAGAAGGAGGGGCAGGCCAGTGAGGAAGTCACAGGGGTTGTCTGTCTCCGCCCACATAATCAGCGTAACTGTGTCATTGATGCTGCGTTCATACTTCATGACTCGGGCGGTTGCCCGGTCGCGCGACCGCATCCTACCGCTAATCAATGGGCAACGAAAACGCCGAAAGAAGTTCTTCCGTGCATATGACCTAACAAGAGGTTACACCGTCTCATTGACAGAATAGTGCGGTCGGTCACAGTCGCGCGATTTGGGAATCATTAGACGCGAAAATAAAGGCGGCCTGAGATCGACTGAACTTACATAGATGATGTCATCTTCTGCCTCAGTTTCTTCACCAACTTCTTCTAGCTCATCTGTCCACTCCAGATTGGATTTCCTAAATGGGTAAGAGTGAAAGTTTTTTGAACACTCACATGGAACTAATGATCTTCCCTCTTGCAGTGATTTAATATGAGACACTTTCGGAGCATGGGCGGAGTCAGTCCCGCCTCCATGGCTTCTTTATTGGTGCGCCATCATTTCCTGATATGGCGCGAAGAGGAGAGGCGCCAATGAAGAAGTTACGGCGGGACGTCTGACCCTGCCCATACGATTAGCATGGACTACGCCCTCTCCCTTTACTTGAGGTCCTGTTACAACTTTGTGCTCAGAATCACACATTCTAGTAATCAACGTGGAAAGAACCCTATGATGCGCCATGCAATCGACTAAGGAACTGTGTAATTGCTTTGAAGGCGCAGCTTGTGTTGATCGTGTGAGTGGAGAACTGGGCGGAGATCCAACAGGACTGCCTTCTCCACTGGCCCGCCTACCGTTGCAAGAGGCTAGAGAGGTGGTACGCGCCACTGACGAAGGCACACTGTACTGACTGCCTCCGCCCCATGGTCAGCGTGGACTGTGTTTCGAAAGAACAATTGACCTCTCACGGTCTCTTGATGTCAAGTGAATGTGAATTTCTTTGCTCCCATACGAGATCAGCTGTATCCTCTGAGAACGCTAATAAACTCCTACAACCTCCACCTAAAGCTGGGGCCGATTATAGCGCTGCTAGGCATGGGGTATTTCCTTTGAAAAGAAGGGAACTCACCTTGCGTACCGATATTTCCGCCTTCCTTCTGCCGCTGCTACAGTGTGACGTGATGCTTGCGAGTCTTCCGGAGACTGAAAAGTTTACCAGTTACCATGCGTAGGGGTCTTATAAAAAGAGAGTAAGCGAAAAAGAAGTAAGAGTAAACGTAAACAAAACCACAAACAAAACAGTTGACAGTAACTAAACAATGGAACGGAATGGAAGGAGTGAGAGTTGTAGAAACAGATAAGATAAGAAGTATTATTCACGGGACACCTGATGGCGCGGGCGATATTCCCACTGCAGTTGGGAGAACATGGGGAATTCCTGTACAAAGTGAAAACGTCATAGAGCACAATTGTAGAGTGAGTTGAAGAAAGTCAAGATCTCTCTAAGTTATCTCTCATTACAATTTGGTCGTTCAAAAAAAGTTGGGCACTATTCAACAACTACTACCCCAATTTACGTAACAGCCGGATCTTATCGACTTTTTTCTACCTGCGGTAATTTTGGCGCCGGCGCCAGCGCACTTTAGGCAAGTGGGGTGTAGTGTGTTCTCATGTTCCAAAGAGGCTCGGGATCAAGCTCTAGGGACACAGACTTTCAGCCCAAATCTGCCTGACGGCAGCGGATGCGAATTTGGAGTGTCGCGCTTGAAGAAAACTTGTTATACGAAAATTATTTTGATTTTGATTACAAAACCACATCATTTTTGGCGCCGACCAGAAGGAAACGCTGCGACCTGTCTGCTGCTAAGGCCTGACTCTACTTGCGAGGAAATCGATCTCTTCTCCCAGGCTCAGCCTAGAAAGAGGCTAAATGCGGCTGCGAATATGGCGTAACGAAAATCAGTGTTCATCGTTCGGTGATCAGGGCCATCAAAAAACATTATGCAAAGTTTTTATCGATGTTAGATAAAAAAGTGGCGCCAGCCCAGCGCCTAATGGCCGCCGTATGGTGTCGAGGCTGGAAAATAATTCGGTATCGTGGATCACGAACATATAACAACCCTAATGCAAGAATTTAACAGTCGATTTTTGGTGAGAAAGGTGAACTCGTTTTTGGCGCTGCCACCAAAACTGGTGCGCTAATGCTGTGCCAATTTGGAGCCAGCCGAAAACGAGTGTTATGTTCGTGATCAGGATACCGAATTACCACTGTGGGCAAAGTTTCAGCGAAAAAATTTCTTGACTTTTTGGGATAGTAATAGTTGAATAGTGCCCAAGTTTTAACTCATCTGAACATTTCAAACACCACTGCTTCTAAACCACATCACAAAGCTATTATATTTGCGAAGAAAATGAATAATCCAGTAAATAAGCACCTTAGCTGTCGGAGATGTCGGGCTTTCGTCATCGTAGTGATGGTCAAACGAATACATAGAAGTGGTCGGTAGCCGATATTCGCCTTGTTCCTCATCTGACTCATCAAGGTGTAGTCTGAACAAGAAAAGGACTCAGGTTCTGCAATCAGGGTGTAACATTGTTGGGAAAATCCCTTCGAGGAAATCGTACGGAAGAATAAAAGTTCACGAAAACAGGCTCGATACAGTACCTCTGGCAATTGCGTATAAAATACTGTGTCTCCATGAATGCACACAACTGGACATACCGTAATACCGACATACTAGTCACCTAACTTTGCGTTATACGCCCCTTGTACAACCTGGCTGATGAACGTCCATCATTGATCATCGACCCGGACTCTTGCGAGGGGGTCGTATTTGGTCTTAATAATTTTTTCGGGAATCATAAGATTCGCTCTGATTGATGCCTAGTTATAGAGGTTACTTCTGTTTCAGGTTCGCTATATTTCACGTTTGATGTGTTACCACCTCGCTAAGGTTGTCGTTCGCTGTAGAACTACCGTGAAGTAACTATTTTTTAATTAGTAGTTGGTTGGCGATGCTCCACTCCCGCTTGATGGTTTTTTGAAGGAAAACGGGGAAGAAGGTAGTGGGAAGTTATGAAAACTTAAGGAGATTGTAGGTAAGACGAGGGAAGAGGGGCTGTATCGGAGCAAGAATGAGGTGGAGAGGTCACCCGACACTGTCATTTCTTCCATCCCGGTGCTGTACCCTATCTGCAAGCAGGACCGGAACAACTGTGCTACATGCATAGTATAAGAATAAGCATGAGAATAGTACAGGCCTCAAATGAAGAATGCGGCGCAGTTCGGCTTGGTGGGGTTTTTCGCACTCATCGATCACTGTCCACGCTTCCTGTGGAGACACGGGGTGGTGAACTGCTTGTAGAGATATGTGCCTAGGCACGAGCTTTGTTTTACATTTTAATAGGAGTGGCCACAGGTATAGGATATAATTAAGGTGAGACCCCCCCCCACTCCTCCCAACCTTACAGCGCCTTACAGGAATATTTCGCTCACACCGCGAACACGAGCTGTAACGAAGGTGCAGCACACGCGCGGGGTGGTCTACTCTCACGCGATGCCGCACTAGGCACCCCCTAGCCGCCACTCTTATTCTCCCCGCACTTCATGTTCACCAAGGAGCTACAAACTGTAAAGGTAAGGCTCACCCAGAAATCGCTTTGATGTTGATGACATTGTCACTGTCGAGAGCTGGCAGGGTATCACCAATGGCACCAAAATCGGATACAGCCCGTTGACGTCGATTAGCAGCACGTCGTGGAGCTGGAGGTGTTCGAGACACACCTGAAGCTCAAATCTTACAGTATTCTAGGTATAAAATGCCAGTGAATGATCACAATGGAAAAACATGCAAGAAAGCAGCACTGGAAGAGTAGAAAAAACCTTTTGGTGGCGTTACAGTAATCACTCCAGGCGATCCACCGATAGCGTTGGATTTCTTCACAGTATTGTCACTACTACGTTGAGCTACAATCACAAATCACATTGAACACGTACACACCACACTCACAAGAAAATCTCGAGACGCAGGCAGCGTTCAGACTTCACGCGTCTACGCACTGTAACGCGCTTGGATGCGCTGCCACTGCGGCCGCGCTCCTGTGTTATAAACGGAAACGCGACCATAAACTAATATCAATCGACGCCGGCAGCTACCGTTCTGAGAGACTGTAGGAGATGAGGAGGGTACGCCTTGCCCAAACATAGTCTGCTATTGATTGGTGCCGGTCGCTTGTCGTAGCGTGCCAATGCGCGCCAACGCGAAGTCTAGACGCTGCCTTAGCGTCAGTCCAAAAGCTTCAATAAAACATGCGTAATAATCTACAATCACAGCCAAGGCGAGGAAAAATCGTTCAGAGGCTGATTTAACACTTCAAGCTACCTACTCGATATATGGGTTTTCATTAGACACGCGCAAAATCGATGCCTATCGTAAAGCATGCAGAAATTGGCTCAGTTGAAGTGTGAAGACAATCAAACGTAGTCATACTGATTGATGCAACTCACATTTTTCATGGCGTACCACCCCGTCTAGTCGGGCGATTTCCATGGATACAGTATCACCGGCTTGTCGGACGAGTTCTACCGCACGATGTCGATCGCCACCCTCTAACGAGGCGCCATCAACACCCAGCAGGCGATCGCCCACACACAGACCCTATAAATTGGGATTATGCGGTTAGAAGAAAATGAAATGAGGCGCTGTTTGACTTGGAAGGGGCATTTTGCACTTTTGCCGTTCCCTTCTGCTAGTTCATGTTAATTAACGGGTTACGATTCGGTGAGACCTGTGAACTCCTGTGAAGCTGCGGAAAGTGAGCAACTTTGATCGTAGGAACCCATAGATCTTGATAAGCTGGCCTAAGCAAGTTCCATAGTGCCATTCGGTGCCCCCACCAAGCCGAACTGCGCCCGAATCAATCCAAAATATTCCTGGGCTGATAAAATAACAAAGAAATATATTTAAGTTGGGATCAAAGCAAAGAAAACCCACAGCCCGCATTCCAGCACCATTTTCAGCAACAGACTTCACATAGACACCTTTGACGCCATTGAGGTTACCGTCCACCAAAGTGAGGCCAAGCCCACTCGATGGATCCTTAAAATAGAATTTTCCACTTCGGAAAACAATTTTCGTTGCTTGAGAACAAACCTTGACGAGATTGACAACAAATCGCATTCCTGGGAGATCGCCATCAGACGAGTCGCCTCTCGAAACCATTTCGAATCGTTCGGTCATGGAATCTGAACAAACATGGGTACGTTCTAGTCGTTTTTAGGTTTTTAGTGAGAGATAACATTAGGGTTCTCTTCAAAGGCCACTTAGCTCGCTAGTAAAAGCAGCCTTTTCGCTTGGTACTCGCGGTACAATTCCTGTGCTGGAGAAAACGAAGATGGGAAACCCGCTCCTTCAATGCGATTCATTCCCTATTCATCTAAGCTTTTGCTTCAAAAGCACCCTGCGTCTCTCATAGCTTCTACCAATGACCTTTTGATTCATTCTTCACTAGTTATTTAGCCCTTTCCACGGCCCTCCACTCTCTCTAGCGCGTCTCCTTATTGGGATACTGCTAGGAGAAGGCGCTGATTATCGACGGGGGGGGGCATTCTGCCTTTCATAGACTTGCCAACCCATCTA